CCCCGCTATGGTAGTAGCTGATATCTAGGGTGACGACCACCCCCCAACTCGTGCTCTGCGGACCCCTCTGAGGGTCATGTTTGCACATCTAGACCAACTCCGCACTGGCCGCTCTGGCCTCAGACTGCCCACTGTCCCCTGCAGGGGCCCCAAGGCGCTGGGCTGGCGCTGAAAGGTGCCCCGGGTGGAGGGGAGGGGGTGGTCTCCAGCTCCCTGGCAAGGGAAGGAAAGGGCTCGAAGTTCTAAGAGTGTAGCAGGGTAGCAGGACTGGGGGAGGGGCTTCCCTCGTGGACGGAGCACCAGGTGCGGGGGCAGCCGCAGCAGCTGTGTGTGGGGCTGGGAAGCCGAGGAGCGCCCCCCCCCCAGGGAGTTGGGGGGCGGGGTGTCACGGATGAAGCATGTGGTTGGGCAGCGGGGCTGGGCGTCTTGGCTGGGTGGCAGGTGGCACTCAGCCCCAACCCAGGACTCTTCTGTCAGCCGCAGCCTGTCTGGGCCACACAGCCGGCCCTGAATTTGTAGTTACTGCCAGAAGAGAGCCACCTGGAGCCACCGATGGGCGGCAGGGACCACAGGGGTCACTGGGCGCTCTTTCCCGCCTGCCCATTCATCATCTTCCTGGGGACAGCGTGGGGAAGGGGCTGTGAAGGCAGGACCCCAGCTGGAGGGGCTGGTCCCGACTGCAGCCCTCTAAGCTAGGCCACCAGTTCCAGGCTGTTCCATCTCCATGTTGTTTCTATGTGATGGAGAGGGACCTCTGACCGCCAGGGGACCCCGGCCGGGGTGCTGGTCTCCCTACTGCAGCTGCAGCTTGTTTTCTTAAGGACAAGGGTCTGAAGGGATCAGGTGCAGGTCTGGGTCGGATGCCAGCGAGTTCCATCTGTTGGGGAAGTGCGCCACCTCGCAGCGCATGCTGGCCCTGCAGGCGGATGCGCGGCTTGGAGCTGAGTGCCAGCCACACCCACGGCGGGCTGGGGAAGGGGCGTCCGCCCCGCCGGTGGGCACAAGCCCCGCCCCCCAAGTATATTTCACACAGATTCCAGGCCACATCCCTGTCTGCCCAAACCACCCACACGGCGCCCTGCTGCAGAAGCCAAAGGACCACTTAATCAGCTAGACCCACGCCCGGGTGGTCTCAGAATAGCTCGGAAACACGGACATCAGCCCCTGATCTAATGCGGCAGACTCAACGGTTCAGCGCCCCGCACGAGGCTCACTGAAAGGCCGCCGGTTCGAACCCACCCCGAGGCTCCGTGGGAGAAACATCGAGTCACCGCCTAGAAAGCCCTACGGCTGCGGCTCTGAATGAGGACAGACCCGGAGGGACCCAAGGGGGATGAGGAGCGCTGGATGCAGGGCCTTCGATATAACGGAGTCCCCAGGCTCCTTCCTCTACCTCAGACCTCCTTCCAGAGTGGGAGCGTCATGCTGTGCGCTGCGTTTGGCCCCCTGTGAGCCCCAGGTGGAGCCTCTGTTTCTCCCTCTAATGGGTGCCTGATAGCACCCGCCTACCTGGCACAGCAGGAGGGTCGCTGTTCATACAGGAGCAAGGTGCCCTCACCAAGGCTTCTTAGGAACAGCCACAGCCGGGGGGACCTTGGGAGAGGTGGCCCCGGGGACATGTGATGCCTCCCCAGAACCCCCAGCCACCTCTCTTCACAAAGACCACCAAGAGGGGCTACTGTTGCTATAGCAGACCCTGGTGGTGTGGGGCAGTACAGTCCGGCGTGAAAATCAGTCACCTCCTCTGAGGGCACTGGACAGATCATGCTTGTCTGTGACCTCAGGGGGACTCAAGTCCAGCCCCTTGGGGGGTTGGGGTGGTGGTGCCTGAAGCATGTGCTCTCTTGGTGCCCCTCATCTGGGGCAGCAGCCACGTGGAACTCTGGTCTGCAGGTGTGCTGGCCAGGGACGTCGTCACTAGAGCACACGCCCAGCCTCTGTCCCCAAGGCCCCCTCACAACTTGGGCGGCACTATCTCCTGCTGGGTGTGGACTTGACCTAGGGTCTTTTCTCTGCACGTCCACTTAGCTGTCTGTGAGATGGGCCCCTGACTGTCTCAGTGACTGTCCCCATTGGCTCGGCTGCCTACTGGTGGCGGGCGGGGCTGGGAGCCTGCAGGCAGCGGGGTACAGCCCATGCGCTAGCCGAGAGAGGTTATGGCTCTGTGTGTGCCCCACAGGCGAGCAGCAGGGGGTCGTCAGGACAACCAGTGTGGGGAAGACGCACAGACTCCTGGCTGGAGCTGAACTGCTGGCTGTCAACCCCAGGCCAGGGCCTACGCTCAGTCCAGCCTGTCACCACCTCTGAGAGGACCTTCAGGTCTGAAATGTCACCGGCAGGTCAGTACGGAGCTCACAGGTGACCGCTCCCTGCCACATCCAGAGCAGATGGACTTGGTGGCAGACGGATCACACCTCGGGCTAAGCCACGCCCCTCCCACGGGGACACTAGGGGACACCACCACCGGCAGTTCCCTGGGCTGGTATCTCGAGCCCTAATCCGGGCGCAGAAGACGAGGAAGGGGTGCTGGCAGGAAGCCCTCTGTAGGCCTGGATCCTTGGGCAGAGCCAGGTCAAAGACCACAGCAGGGCAATTCCTCCTGGCGGTGCCATCCAGACAGGTGA